AACCTAGATATAAAAGGTTGGAGTGGATTTGTTCAGGTTAATATTGATCATAATAAATTCGTAAATAAATTCAAACTGTTATGTTCTTTGCTCTGTATTCTCTGCCATTTATTTAAAAAATCGGGTTATTCAGTTTTTGTAATTTTGTTCACCTTCGAATAAATTCACGGAAGTGATGGTGTCTGCTTCAAATCTACTTAACTGAATTTCGAAGGCGCAGACATCCCCAAGCCATCTAACATACACAACGAAAAGGACAACAAGCAACAACGAGTCTGCCAATAAAATGTGAAATAGAAACAAATACTTTCACCGTGGCGTGCGCGAGAAGAGGACGATGGTTAGTGACCTTCGTGGTGGTGAAGGTGGAGCGAACTGGAGGTGACGATGAAGAGGGAGGAACCGTAGGCTGCGTTACCTTCTTGAAGAAGGACATTGTTTTGGAGGAGTGAAACCAAGTAAGGTAAACTAATAGACATTTCAATATAGTTACATTGATTAAAATAATATTTAACTAAGTATTAAAATAATGTATCAATATTATATTATTTAATATTTCATACATAATTATATGATAGGATATATAATATATATGTGATAATTTATTTAATAGTAATAATTATACATAATTAGTTTTAAAAATTAAACATAAATTTAATTCTATAAATCATTAAGATTTATAAGGTTTTTTTTTTTGACGAAATAAAATTTTATTTATAATTTTTTTAAAATATAGGAAAAATTTTGAAAGAAATTTTAGGTATGAAAATTTTGTATTTTGTCATCATTGAGCTACAATTAGCTACAAAATTATAAGTTATAATAAATAATTTATTTTTAATTACAAAATTAAATTTTATAGTTTGATGACTAGTTTTTATTAGAAAAAAATTTCATAGTTGTACAGAACCAATAAAAATTAAACCAACAATCTTGAGCCTTTTGAATCAAAGTAAAACCAACACATTTAATTTCATCTAACGCCAAACAATTCTATCCCTAAATACCATAGGAGCCGTAAGCATTAAAAATTTGATAACAACAATTTATTAAAACCATAATAATAATAATAATAATAAGAGTTGAATTTACAAAGCCTCCAACGAAAATTATAGAAATAATAATTAATAATAATAATAATAATAATAACAATAAGACAGACTATAGCTACAATGAAGCTGTGATGCCTCGTAGAATCATTTTGAAAAGCGGCAACTGAGTAAGATGGCGTAGAATCATTTTGAAAACCGACAACGTAGTAAGATGGCGGTAGAAAAGGAAATTACCGATCTGGTTCGAAAGCCGACTTGATTGAATTTGCAAGAAATTTTCTCCAATTTTCTGACTTTATAAAAGTAACAAGTTACGAACTTATAAATAAACAGAAAATCGAAACTGAACAAATATTAGTAAGATATAAAGTATTGCCGCCGTCGTTAAATCGCCCGAAACTCGCCGTCTATTCGTAAGGTGGTGTTGCGCAAACTGAAAAGTGAAATTTGAGATAAGGCTTTAATTTGTGATTACTTACGAAATTCAATTCCATGTGTAAATTGATAAGGAGAAAACAAGGAACCTAAACCAATTTGTCTATAAACACAAATGAGTTCAAATAAATTGAACAAAAAAAAATTCTCCCAAACTCGTAAGAAACTCGCAAGACTCCAAAATCAATTGCACCAATGTAGAATGGCATCCAAAGCATATAAAGCAAAGAAAACCAAAACACACTGTTAAAACGTGACTTGGATTTAGCGGTCTACCCGACCCGAAACCAAAGCGAAATGGCTGTTTCAATTAGCAGGATTCTTTTTGGACTTATCCTAATTAATAACAAATAGGCTTAGGGTCTAAGGTGTTTTGAGGTGCTTATAAATAGATAGCTATGGTTCCTAGTCATATGACATGATCGTAACTCTCTGAATCAATATAATAAAATCTCTTCGGTTCCTATCCGTGAACATAGGTTGATACACCGTCACCGAACCACGTAAAACCTCTATGTTCTTTATTTGCTTTCTTTCTCATTTTCTCATAACAAATGGTATCAGAGCCATATCTGATTGATTGAAGATGTCCTCGTATAAGTTTGATCTGGAGAAGTTTAATGGTTCGAATGACTTCACGCTCTAGTAGGTCAAGATGAGAGTACTTCTGGTTCAATAAGGATGTGCGGCTTCATTGGAGGGAAAAGACAAGTTTCCTAAATACACGAATGAGAAGATAAATAAGGAGATTTTGGCAAGGGCTCCTTCTGCGATCTTGCTGTCAGTTACTGATTAGGTGTTATGGGAGGTTGTTGATCAGACGACGGCTTTTGGACTATGGAATAAACTGTGTGAGAAGTACCAAAACAACTCTCTCACGAACAGGCTATATCATAAGCAACGTCTTTACACCCTCCAGATGTCCGAAAGTACTCAAGTAAAGGATCATCTTGATACCTTTAACCGTATCATTCTTGATCTTCAAGGGGTTGAGGTTAAAGTAGATGATGAAAATCAAGCCCTAATTTTACTGTGTTCACTACCTGGTTCATATGAGAATTTTGAAGATACTATGCTATATGGTAGAACTACAATTTCTGTTAATGATGTGAAAGATGTTTTTATGTCCAAAGAATTGAAAAGAAAGGTTTCTCTAGAAGAGGATTCTAATTCAGGTCTGTTTGTAGGTAGGGGAAGACCACACGAGAGTGGTAATGGAAATGGGAGGTCAAGCTCAAAATCAAAATCATCTAGCAAAGTTAAGTGCTATCTTTGCAAGGAGAAGGGACACATTAAAAAGGATTGTCCACAGAAGAAGGGAAATACAAAAGTTGATTCTAGTAATAGTGGCAGCAGTGCTGCTGTGGTACAAGACAATTTTGAAGATGGGAACTTTGGTGAAGTTTTGACAACATGCAGTGCTAGTAGTGCAGATAAAATTGCATGACGGTACTGTCAGGAAATTTGACTGTTGGTATGTTCCTGAACTCAGAAAGAATTTGATTTCTCTTGGCACCTTAGTCAAAAATGGTTTAAAATATCATAGTGAAGGTGAGTGGGTGAAAGTCCTGAAAGGTGCTCTGGTAATGATGAAGGAAAAATTGCAGCATGAAATTTATTTTCTATAGGTCAGTTCAGTGATGGGAACGGCGGCGGTATCCTAGCCCTTGGATAAACATGATGATAGGACAAATTTGTGGCACTGTCGATTAGGTCACATGAGTAAGCAAAGGTTGTCTGTGTTGAGCAAACAGAGTTTATTTGGTGGGGATGTGATAGGTAAAACTCAATTGTGTGAGGCTTGTGTAAAAGGGAAGCAACGCAGGTCATCACACTTCAAAAAAAAATTGGAGTATGTTCATGCAGATTTATGGGGTCCCTCTCCGGTGAAATCTCAGGGCGGGTGTTCTTACTTTGTCACTTTCATAGATGATTATTCGAGAAAAATCTGGTTGTACTTTCTGAAGACTAAACATGAGGTGTTTGGGAAGTTCAAGAAGTGGAAGACCATGGTTGAAAAACAGACGGGTAAACAGGTCAAGACACTAAAAACTGATAATGGGTTGGAGTTCTGCAAAGCTCCATTTGATGATTTCTGCAAGAAAGAAGGTATAGTGAGGCACTGCACTGTACGACACATACAAAAGCAAAATGGAGTTATAGAGCGAATGAACCAAACCCTCATGGCGCGTGCTAGGTGTATGCGCATATTTGTTGGCTTATCTAAGCAATTATGGGCTGAAGCAGTTAACACTGCTAGCTATCTGGTTAATAGATCTCCATCAACTACAATTGACATAAAGACTCCTCAAGAGGTATGGTCCGGTAAATCCTCTGATTACTCTAATCTAAAAATATTTGGATGCCCTGCATACACTTATGTGAATGATGGTAAGCTGGAGCCGAGGGCGGTAAAATGCATATTTCTAGGGTATGCAACATGAGTAAAAGGTTATCAACTGTGGTGTACATAAGGTAAAAATCCTGGTAATTTCTTATTAGCAGAGATGTAACATTTGATGAATCTGCTATACTTGATCAGAGTAGAGGTTGTGAAAGTATTGCAGGTACAAAAGATTGTGGTGCTGACCAGAGGGTGGAGTTTGAGACTCCTGACAGAGTTGTGTTAGAGGAAGAGCAGCAGGATAATACTATTGATCAATCCGATCAACCAGATCAGTCAAAATCTCAAGGGAAACCGGTTGAGGGGAAGCTGATGACGCTGGTACTGGGGTTGAAGTTTCCATAGCAGCAAGAAAGGGAAAGAGAGATATTCAGAAACCAGCTAGGTTTGTAGGATGTGTCAATACATGTGACATGAATTATGTGGCTTATGCACTAGCGGTTGGTGATGATCTTGGCTCTGATGAGCCAAAGACATATAAAGAAGTTGTGGCGAGTAAAGATGCAGAAACCTGAATCATGGCAATGAATGAAGAGATGCAGTCTCTTGAAAAGAACAAGACTTGGGATCTTGTTGCACTACCAAAAGGGTGAAGCCAGTGCGATGCAAGAAGGAAACACAAAACACAAAAAGAAGGAATCGATTACCATGATGTCTTTTCTCCTTTGGTGAAACACAAAGTCATCCGGTTTCTTTTGGCAATGGTGGGTGCTTTTGATCTGGAGCTGGAGCAGCTTGATGTAAAAACAACATTCCTTCATGGTAATCTAGAAGAACGGATTTACATGTCTCAACCGGAGGGATTCGACAGTTCTAAAGGGGACTAGATATGCTTGTTAAAGAAATCTCTATATGGCTTGAAGCAGTCTCCGAGGCAATGGTACAAGAGATTTGACTCTTTCATGGTTTCTAATGGTTATACTCGTAATCAGTTTGATAACTGTGTTTACTCGAAGAAAGTTTCTACTAATTCCTTTGTGTATCTGTTGTTGTATGTGGATGATATGTTAATTGCAGTTAAAATCATGGTTGTAATTAATGACTTGAAGGCTCTACTAAATGGTGAGTTTGAGATGAAGGATTTGGGTGCGGCAAAGAAAATACTTGGTATGAAGATCCGGCGTGATAGAGAAGCAGGACGACTATGGGTTTCTCAAGAAAAGTATATTGAGAAAGTTTTTCCGGCATACTATGTTGATCAGTCCAAACTGGTAAGTACCCCTTTGACGGCACACTTTAAACTTGATCTAAGCATTATACCGGCTACAGATGAAGAGGTTAGCTACATGAAGACGGTTCCATATACAAGTGCAGCTGGAAGTCTTATGTATACGATGGTACGTACGAGACCGGATCTCGCTTATGCGGTTAGTGTGGTGAGCAGGTTTATGGCTAATCCGGGTAAAGCTCATTGGGGAGCTGTAAAGTGGATCTTGCGATATTTGAAAGGAACGTCTGATATTTGTCTGGTATATGATGATAAAGGCCATGGTGATGGTCTTGTTGGCTATGCAGACTCTGATTACGGGGGTGACTTGGTGAAACAAAGATCACTGACTTGCTTTATCTTCACTCTGTTTGGATGTGCAATCAGTTGAAAGTCTACTTTACAACCTACGGTTGCACTGTCGACAACTGAGGCGGAATACATGTCAATGACCGAAGGTATTAAGGAGGGTATCTGCTTATATGGTCTAGTGCAGAGTTTGGGTCTGAAGGTGGAGAAACCAGTGTTATTCTGTGATAGTCAAAGGGCTTTGAGTTTGGCTAAAAATCCAGTGTATCATGAGAGAACCAAACATATTGATGTAAGTTTGAATTTTATCTGTGATGTTCTGAAGAAAGACAGGTTTTCTATTCATAAAAACACAATCCAGTTGATATGTTGACAAAGGCGCTACCGACGGAGAAGCTCAAGCACTGCTTGAACTTGGTGAATTTTCGCAAGAGGTAAAGTCCTCTCGGGGCATCTAGCAAGAAGGAGACGACTGAGAAATATTGACAAACCTTTGGCGGTTGGAGAAACTCCAAGTTAAGGTAGAGATTGTTGAAACGTGACTTGGATTTAGCGGTCTACCCGACCCGAAACCAAAGCGAAAGGGTTGTTTCAATTGGCAGGGCTCCTTTTGGGGTTATCCTAATTAATAACAAATAGGCTTAGGGTCTAGGGTGTTTTGAGGTGTTTATAAATAGATAGCTATGGTTCCTAGTCGTATGACATGATTGTAACTCTCTGAATCAGTATAATAAAATCTCTCTGGTTCCTGCCGATGGACATAGGTTGACACACCATCACCAAACCACGTAAAACCTTTGTGTTCTTTATTTGTTTTCTTTCTCGTTTTCTCATAACACACACAATATTTATGTGGAAAATCTCTCCAAATCGAAGAGGAAAAACCACGGGACCAACGGTCCACCCAAACCTTTTATTAATCAACAAGGAGTGAGTACAAGAAAGTCTCCAAGCATCAAATATGATGACGCTAACAGTCCAAGAAGTATTAAACTATGACAAGATACAAAAAGGATGAAAAATATTAGAAATCAACCCCAAAAACTGCAGGAAGTCGGAGTCGATTCCCAGCAATCCAGCTATCAAAATCCGATCTCCCCCGTTCCGAACTTAAAAATACGACTTGGGAAGCTACAGTTCAAATTTCAGATCGATCTGACCACGGACGACGTCCTGATCGCAATTTTCATGAGACTGGGCGAGTAAACAAATCAATTTCGAAAATCCTCTCTTCTCTCTCTCAATCGGCTGCTGCTCCCTCATCTTTCTTTACTCACACCCTATTAAGTATTGGGCTTCCAAACTTTGGGCTTAAAAACATAGGAGGGAAAATAAAAAGCCCAACATAAATTTCTGACAAAAATATATTTAATGAGTAATTCCGTAAGTATTTCGGATAATTACTAAAGGTATTAGATTTTGTAAATTATTCCGTGAGTAAATTCCTCACGAAATATTTTTGTGAGTAATTTATAATGTAATAACAATGAACCGAACACCAACTAATAATAACAATAATAAATTAGCATAAATTGCTTAAAAAGAAAAAAACAAACGTCTTTAAATAAGAACCAATAAGAAAATAGATATTGTTTTACAACCCATTGATTATTCTTATTATTATAAAATATATTATATTAGATTTATATTTTATTTAAAATGTTAGATTAAACTTTTTTTATATATCAGAACAAATTAAACCAAAACATTTAAAGACATATTCAAATATAATCATAAGCTTCTTGTAAACCACTAAAGTAGATTGAAATTTGTTAAAATAAAAATAAGGGTACTTGCAACTTAGGATATCTAAACATATATATCCATAAACTTTTCATAACCCATTGCAATAAGTCTATTTTATTTTTATTTTTTAAAAAATATACATTACATTACATTGTAATGTCGAGGTAATTTTATATTTTGAATAAAAATAATTAAAAAAAACATTTTAATAAAAGATAAATATTTATACTCGCCCTGTCCCAAAACTATAGTCTCGGTTGTGTTTGGTACAGAATTTAAAAAATATTATTATTATATTGATAATGGGTAAAAAGTACGGATATAAGACTTTTTTGTCCTTATAAATGTATTAGTGTAAAAAGTAGTAACAATTAATAATGAAAAAATATGGGTAATTTTATAGTAATATGATTATTTATGAAAATGAAACTATTGTTTTGGGACGGACAAAAATGGTAAATAATACTATTATATTGGGACGGAGAGAGTATTATTTTTTTAAGGAATTACATATATTGGAGATCCAATCGACTCGACATTTAGAGTATATTATTTTATTCATTTTTTTAAAAAAAATAGTATTTTAATATGATATTTTGTAAAATAAAATAGTATATTTTTATTAAAAGCTATATCAAATGAATAGGGTTAATTTTAATTTGAAATGGTAAAAGAACAAATTTTACTTAAAAATATTATTTAAATAAAATTCAAAATAATCACTTATTTTAAATTAATTTCAAACCACGACTAAATAAAGCAAATATATTTAGTAAGTGCGAGTTAAATTTAATCATTTTGATTTATTTATTAATTAAATTATTTACGTTTGATATTTAGGGTGTGTTTGTTTGGGGATTGGTTTTTCAATCCACTATTCATCCTATTTTTTTCCCTAAAATTCATCAAATCAAACACCTATTTTTCATTTTTTATATTATACTAAAAATTAATTTTACATTTAAAACATCACATCAATACCTATTTATATCACATCATACAACTATTCAAATTCAAATTTTTTACTATTCAAATCCGAACTCAAAATCCAAACCCCGAACAAACATAATTTTCCTTTTCCAAATGACTTTCCTCCATCCTATGAATCCCGGAAACATGTCTTTAATTAACATCAAACATATATAACATGCATGTGAATGTTTTCCTTTCAACGTTCATCGATTGTGCTTTAAGGCAACCCCAAAAGTTTCTTATCACTTCAAAGTAAAGCACTTGAAGAAATCTACCCCATGTATTAATTTACACATACAAACCCTTACAATCCCCACAATTTTCTGCCCTAAAATTCCACTCCAGTGTAGAGATATTTGCTTCCACAAATCGAATCATGCAACTCTTAAAACCTTCATACATCCTTAAACTCCCATGTCCACGTCTTTTTCATTACAACAAGGCTGATAGTCGATTGGCCAAAACATACACTCAACCATTGTACCGGACCTTCATATATAAATCCCATCTCAAATAACTAAGTAACTAACAAAAAATACTACTGTAATAACTTATAAATTTTGATCAAGCATCTTCTTTTTATTATTGTTCTTCGTGTATTGGTAATTAAGGTTAGTGTTTCTTTAAGATTATGATCAAGTTGATATACTAATATGCATAGAAACATGGTCCATACATGCTTCTTTTTTTCTTTTTTTTTAGGGTATTGAAGATATCTATGGAAGAGTTGAAGATTAAAGACGAGCTGGAATTGAAAGTGGAGGAGGATTTGGAGGAAGAGATCAAAGATGGAATATACAGTCTTGCCCTAAAATTGCATAGGTTGTATCAACACAAGAAGAAAAGAGCCATGAAGTTGGATGATCCGAAAAAACAAGTGTCGGAGGTTAACATAAATATCAAAATGCAAGGCGGAACGACAATTGAGATTAAAGAGATGAAGAGAGGCGGTGGTGAAGGGAGGTCGTGCCTTTCCCCTATCCCCACACAAAATCCAAATCCGCCTCCTACGCATCGTCCCATAAAATTTGATTGGAGTAGGAGTCTCCGGTCAAGCTCTAACATGACCAATGTTTATCAAGGAATCAAGAGTGGTCCGAACTCGAATTCAAACTCCATGAGAATGGAGGGAAACCAAAAACACTGTAAGAAAGATAAGTCAAGTGATTTAGATACCAAGACGACATTGGAAAAGTTGGAGTTGGGATGGAAATACTAGATTTTTTTCCTTTTTTTTTTTTTTTTTTTGGGTATGTCGGGTAATAAATTATTTTCAACTTCATTGACATGATTTAAGTGTGATTACTTTTTGTTTTGTTTTGGTATTGTTTTGTTTTTTTGGGTGTGTGTGTAAAAAAATGGGATTGATTTAATGTAATTTCGATTGATTTTACGAAAGTGTGTTATCAATTTATGTTTATAATTGATTCATTGAATTAATGTGGTGTTGTTGAGAGAATTTTAATTATTGTATTACGTCTAAATATATTTCCCCTTTTTTTCATCCATCTCCTAGTTTCTTTTTTTCTTTTTTTTTTGGTAAATTATATAATATTTTATTGTGGTTTATTGAAAATACACAAAACACTTGATGCTTTATTTATCAAGTGAAATTTTTTGTATTAGATTAAAATTTGGACAAAATACGATCGTCGTCTGAGTATAAATAGGAATCTAATTATGTATTTTATACAAATTAAAAAGATAATATATTAATTTTTTTTTTGAATAAAACAAAAAAATAAATAATTGATTAATCTTTCATTTTATTATTTCTTTAGAGATAAAATTTTATCTTTATTTACAAAAACTATAAAAAATGAAAAATTGATCAATTATTTATTTATTTATTTTATTCAAAAAATACTATTTAAGATAGTTTTACCTCTTTTATTTTTATAAAACATGCATAAATTAGGTTCGTATTAGCACTCAAACATCGATTTTGGACGAATAAGATATTTTGTGCATATTTTAATTTAACATAATAGAGTTTCACATAATGAATAAAACATAATATATTTTGTACATTTTTACAAATCAAAATAAGAAAAAATCGATTAGAAATAGATGTTTTATAAAACATTGTAGGTCCCAAAATTTCTCCATTGAATAAAAGCAATCAAACAGCATAAACACATAAACAAGCAAATTACAGATATTTATAAAATGACAACATCATGCACAGTCTCAAAGCATTAGAATAGACGCCGAAATGTTAACCGAGTTTGTTCTCAAATGGCATATATTTGGAGGATTCCAACCCATAGATAATAATATTTAATAAAGAAAAAAGTGAGCTTAAAAAAAGTGTATCAGTCTACCTCAAGAATTCTCCATCTGCCTACCCAAGATTTTAGATAAGGTTCTCTAACAACCCCCCATATGTACCGTATGTCTCTCGTTTAGATAGTTATCACCATCAAGCTTTATTGTGTATTCCACCCAATTTCTCTCTGTATATATCCCCCTCTTTCTTTACCTATTAGACTATTGCAAAACAACTTGCAATTTCACTACACAACTTTTACCACAGAATATACACACATTTTATCGTTACAGAATTCCCTAATGTTGAAAGTGGATTGTATTTATTTTGAGATTTGGTTGATGTTGTCCGAAAGTGGGACGAACAATGCATGAACATACACAACCCAATTTTTCTTGTGCCCATCCAAACAAAACAAATGGCCCAAAAATTGATCAGACTAATGAAGACCCAACTGAATTGATTGAGAAAACTCGTTGGTCCTCCAATCCATATGTGAGAACAACAAAATTCGGTTGTAACAAACTTTGTGGAGGTCGGGAGAGATAGTGGAGGAAAAGATTTCATTCTTAATTGAATGATTCTAAATCAATGAGCAAAAGAGAGTGAGGTGGGATAGGTTTTGGAGTTAGGAATCTTCAAGAAATTGGGGACTATGATTTCTTGAGTGGAGTGGTTCTGATTGTATCCATGAATACTCATACTTCGAATACTTTGATAGTGAATCTCACATGTGTTGAAACCCCCCAGACGTAGGCTAGTTACTAGGTTATCAATTGTGCTTTATTTTTTTTGTTTTTTCGGTCACTAATGTGTACATTCGCAATCCAATCGTTCAGCAAACAACCAGTTTGTGTTGAGTGAATTTGCATATTTGATTTTGGAAGTAAGTTGTTCTTGTTTTTGTGTGAGTTAATCGAAATTTGGGGCCAAGACCTAAGTTGGGGACCATTTGAAAGATGCTCTCCATTGCACAATTGGTTCTTCTATCGATTCGACTAGCATTTGGGCCACATTCTTGATATTGGTATCATGACCACAAGCCCACCTATAAACATCAACCAAAAAAACAATGCTTCACTGCTATCAATCTCCCTCTTTTTTATTGATATTTACTAACCAACATGAAATTATTAGCCGTAGTGCAAAAAATCAACAAACGGTCTCCCTCTCAATAAAGGCAATCAAACAATCCTCCTTCAACCAACCAACCAAACCGCCAAATACCCAAATTCAGTAAGCAACGAGTAATAATTTTAACCAACCAATGGCAAAAAAAAAATAAATAAATAAACTACAAATAGAAACATGAACACCAACAATTACTCTACATTCCCCTTTGAGAAACATCATCCCAAAAAAGCTTTATTCATCGTGATGGGGGCTTGACGGAGCTTCTTCTTCTTTTACCTATACATATAGAATATTAAGCATCACAATCAACAACAATAAGTAATGCACACGACCAAGAAATCTATTGTGATATCCCTTGGAGTTAGCCGTTACTTGGCAAACTCCTGTGTATGGATGAGCCGGTATTAGGCCATCAGAAGTTGACTAAGGATTAAGTGGATTGAAAAGACAACTCATATCAACAATGTATATATTTTTTTTCGAGAGCCCTACTGAAAGAACTCTAGATTTAAACATATTTGCCCTAGAGTAATTTGAGGATAGGTGACCACCTATAAAGTCTCATAGGGTGCGCGTGAGTGAGGACAGAAGCACACTGTAAGGACTCGTGTTGACCTGTGGGGCTAGTCTCTGATTCCGATACCCCGGCTTGGCATGCGGGCCGAGGTGTCACAGTTGGTATCAGAGCCGACTTGCAACATCCCATAGTCGTACCAGACTTTTGAGGGGCCTACAAGTTGATGATCCTTAGGTGCAATATGGACGTTGCATTCTAAAGTGGAAGAGGATGTGATACCCCCGGAGTTGGGCTGTTTCTTGTCCAAATCTTGTGTATAGATGAGCCAGTACTAAGCCATCGTAAGTTGATTATATATTAAGTAAATTAAATAAAATACTCATGTCAACAATGTGTACATTCCTTTTCGGGAGCCCTACTAAAATTTGAGGATGGGTGACCCCCTGGAAAGTCTCATAGGGTGTGCGTGAGTGGGGACAGAAACCCACTGGAGGGACTCGTGTTGACCTGTAGAGCCAGTCTACGATCCCGACATGCTCAGCTTCGCGTGGCTTGCAAGTCGGGGTGTCAAAGTTAGTATTAGAGCCGACCTGCGACAGCTCGCAGTCATTGACCGAACTGTTGACGGGCCTAGCAGTTGACAATCCTTGAGGTGCAACATGGACGTTGCATTCTAAAAGTGGGGGAGGATATCATACCCTCAGAGTTGAGCCGTTGCTTGGCCAACTCCCATGGATTTTCTAGTGCCAGGCCATCCAAGGTTGAATATAAGTTAAATGGATTGAATAGACTACTCATGTCAACAATATGCACATTCCATTTCGAGAGCCCTACTGAAAGAACTCTAGAATTAAACGTGTTTGCTCTAGAAAGTCTCCCAGGGTGCGCATGAGTGGGGACAGAAGTGCGCTGGAAGGACTCGATTTTGAGAATCGGAAACTGAAGAGGTTAATGAGGAAAAATCCTACGACCAAGAAGTTAGAGAATCTATACCGGAGTCCAATTTGACATTAGTCATTCTCCGAGCTCTTAGCACCTTCTAAAGGAGGTTGAAGATACCGATTAACGTGAAACTTTATTCCATCGAAGGTGTAAGATGCAACTAAGGTATGTAGTCTTATCATTGATGGTGGTATTTGTACTAATTTCATTAGTGACCTCGAAATGAAAATACTTAATTTGAGTATGAATTTGCACCCGAGGCCTTACAAACTACAGTGGCTCAATAATTGTGGGGAAATCAATGTCACCAAACAAGTGTTTGTGGGAATTGAGCTACAAGGATGAGGTAAATGCGATGTAGTTCCAATACAAGCATGTCATATTTTACTTGGGAGACCATGGCAATTCGACAAAGAAGTTTTACATGATGGCCGTCGTAATCGATATATTTTCACACATGCCGGACGGACCATAGTTCTAAAGCCGTTGAGTCCCCGAGAAGTAAATGAAGATAAAAAATACTTGTACAAGTAGTTTTCCGTCGGAGCAAGAGAGAAAAGAAACCAGAAGAAAGACAACAAGATAGTGAACTATGTCATTGAATCAACTTGATATCAAGAGTCCAATTTGAAGTCCTCCTTAGAATCATCCGCAACAAAAGGTACTCCGCATGCAAGTACATCTACTATCTCACATAGCCTAACTACCCCACAACCTCTCAAATCTTCATCATCACGAATAAATACATCTACCCCTAGCCACTCTCAAATACTCTACCCTTTTACTCAAAAATCAAATACGAGTGTAGTGATTCAGGGTAAAACCAACTGGAATCCTAAACATGAGAGTGAGAGGTCTAATCTGATTATGTGCAGGAAGGAAGGTTTATGCTCAGAACATGGAATTCATTGTTTGTTATTACTTTTTTAAACCTACTTATTTTCCATGAATGACTTTAACAAACTTCCATCTAGTTTTGCTAACTTATTGCAAGCATATGATGGTGTTTTTCTAGATGAAGTACCCCATGGTTTACCACTCACTCGTGGAAATTGAGCACCAAATTGATTTTGTCCCTGGAGCATCAATTCCTAATTGGCCAGCCTATCGAGCCAACCCGGATAAGGTAAAGGAAATACGAAGGCAAGTGGAGGATCTACTGAGCAAAGGTTGGATTCTTGAAACCCTAAGTCCTTGTGCTCTACCTATCCTATTGGTGCCAAAAAAAATGGAGGTTGGCACATGTGTCTGGATTGCCGAGCCGTCTACGCTATAACAATTAAGTATCATCATCCCATTCCTAGATTTAGATGACATGCTTGATAATTTGTGTGGTTCTGTAATTTTTTTCAAAAATTGATTTAAAAAGTGGCTATCACCAAATTTGGATGAATCCAGGTGATGAATGGAAAACTACCTTCAAGTCTTCTTTTGGTCTATATGAGTGGTTAGTTATGCTATTTGGACTTACT